ATACCTAGGAGTGAAATGACTGGATCACATGGCAGCTGTGTGTTTAAATTTTACAGAAACTAACTACTTTCCAAAGTGGCTGTGCCATTTTGCATTTTTACCAGCAGTGAAGGAGAATTCCAGTTGTTCTACATTTTTTGCCAACACTTGATAATGGTCAATTTTAAAAATTGTACTTATTTTAATGGGTGTGTAGTGGTATCTTGTAGTTTTAATTTGCATTTCCCTAATGATGTTGAGCATATTTTAATATGCTTATTTTCCACCTGCATATCTTCTTCGGTTAAGTCCCTGGGCCTCCCTATTCCCCAAGGCACAACAATATTGAAATTAGGCCAATTAATAACCCTACAATGTTCAAGTGAAAGGAAGAGTTGCATGTCTCTCACTTTAAATTAAAAGCTAGAAATGACTAAGCTTAGTGAGGAAGGCATGTCGAAAGCCAAGACAGCTGGAAAGCCAGGCCTCTTGTAGCAGTTAGCCTAGTCGTGAACGCAAAGGAAAAGCTCTTGAAAGAAATCAGAAGTGCTACTCCAGTGAACACACAGATGATAAGAAAGCGAAAATGCCTTACTGCTGACATGGAAAAAGTTTTAGTGGAATAGACAGAAGATCAAATCAGTCATAATATTTCCTTAAGCCAAAGACTTAACAAGACCCTTTCTTCAAATCTATGAAGGCTATGAGAGGTGAGGAAGTTGCAGAAGAAAAGTCTGAAGTTAGCAGAGGTTGGTCCATCAGATTTAAGGAAAGAAGTCATCTCCACAACGCAGAAGTGCAAGGTGAAGCAGCAAGTGCTGACGAAAAAGCTGCAACAACTTATCCAGAAGTTCTAGCTAAGATAGTTAATGAAGGCGGCTACCCTAAACAGCAGATTTTCAGTGTAGACAAAACAGCCTGACACTGGAAGGAGATGCCACCTAGGACTTTCATAGCTAGAGGGAGTAAGTTAGATGCGTGGCTTCAAAGACTCAAAGGGTGGGCTGATTCTCTTACTAGGGAGTAGTGCAGCTGCTGACTTTAAGTTGAAGCCAAAGCTCATTCACCATTCTGGAAATCCTAGAGCCCTTAAGAACTATGCTAAGTCCACTCTGCCTGGGCTCTATAAATGGAACAAGGCCTAGATGACAGCTCATCTGTTTATAACACAGTTCACTGAATATTTTAAGTCCACTGTTGAGACCTACTGCTCAGAAAGATTCCTTTCAAAATATTACTGCTCACTGACAATGCACCTGGTCACCTCAGAGGTCTGATGGAGAGAGGTGTACTGTAAGATTCCTGTTGTTTACATGCCTGCTAACACAACATCCATCTGCAGGCCATGGGTCAAGAAGTGATTTCAACTTCCAAGTCTTATTATTTAGGAAATAACATTTCAAAGGGATATCCCATAGACAGTGATTCTTCCAGTGGGTCTGGGCAAAGTATTATCGAAAACCTTCTGGAAAAAAATTCACCATTCTGGATGCCATTAAGAACATTTGTGATTCACAAGAAGAGGTCAAAAATCGACAGCAAAAGGAATGTGGAAGAAGCTGATTCCAACTCTCCTGGATGACTTTGAGGGGCTCAAGACTTCAACAGAGGAAGTAACTGCAGATGTGGTGCAACGACAGAACTAGAATTAGAAGTAGAGCCTGAAGATGCGAATTTGCTGCAATTTCATGATCAAAGGAGTTGCTTCTTTTGAATGGTTTCTTGAGATGGAATCTAATCCTGGTAACGGTGTTGTAAAAATTGTTGAAATGACAACAAAAATCTAGAATATGACATAAACTTAGTTGATAAAGCAGTGGCAGGGTTTCAGATTGGATTGGATCCAATTTTGAAAGAAGTTCTGCTGTGGGTAAAATGCTATCAAACAGCATTGTATGCTACAAAGAAATCATTTGTGAAAGGAAGAGTCATTCAATGCATCAAACTCGAATGTTGTCTTATTTTAAGAAATTGCCACAGCCACCCAACCTTCAGCAACCACCACCTGATCAGTCAACAACCACCAACATCGAGGCAAGACCATCCCCCAGTAAAAAAGATCATGATTCCCTGAAGACTCACATGATAGTCAGCATTTTTTAGCAGTATTTTTAATGAAGGTATACAAATTTTTCTCAGAAGTAATGCTATTGCACACTTAACAGACTACAGTACAATGCAAACATAACTTTTATATGCACTGGGAAACCAAAATATTCGTGTGACTTGCTTTATTGTGATATTTGCTTTACTGCAGTGGTCTGGAACCAAATCTGCAATATCTTCGAGGTATGCCTGTATTTTCTCCCAGTCTATGGCTTATCTTTTTATGTTCTTAATAGTATTTTGTAAACAGCACATGTTTTTAATTTGATAGAGTTCAGTTTATCAATTTTTTGTTTTACGAATTGTGTTTTTGTTGTAGGTAAGACATTTTTGATTAATCCAAGGTCACAATGATGATCTCCTATGTTTTCTTTGATATTTTATA